ATATATACCACATTTTCTTTATCCATTTGTCCCTTGATAGGCACATGGGTTGCTTCCAAGTCTTGGCTATTGTGAGTAATGCTGCGATGAACATAGGGGTGTACACACGTTTTTGAATTAGTGTTTTCATGTTCTTTGGGTACATACCCAGATGTGGAATAGCTGGATCATATGATATTTTTATATAAATTAACGTTTTACCACCTCCCAAACAATTCTAGGGATTTGAATGCTTTAAATTAATTTACTCTCTATTGATTACTCTCTTTTTTATGTAATTTATATTCATTATAATTTGTCACGTATTTTAAACCCCTTAAAATTTTAATTTTTTTGTATAGTTTATATTCATTTAGTCTTACCAACATGTTTAACATTTCTGTTAATCTTCATTTCTGCCTTAATTTCTGTGTTCCCATTTGGGATCGTTTTCCTTCTACCTGAAAATTTCTCTTTTCTTTTTATGCAGATCTACTGGAAATGAATTATCTCAGTTTTTTCTTGTCTGGAAGTGTCTTTATATTACCTTTACTTTGAAGGTTATTTTCTTTGAGTACAGAGTTCTACATTTGTGTTTATTACCTGTTTTCCAGCCTTTACAGATGTTCTTCCATTGTCTTTGGCTTCTATTGTTTCTGGTGGGAAGTCAGCCTTAAGTCTTATTTTTTCTTCTTTGAAGTTAATGCATTTTTTCTTTGTTTTTGATTTCTTTTCAGTTGTTTGATTATGATATGCGTAGGTGTGATTTCCTTTGCATTTATCCTTCTTGGGTGGCTTAATATCTTTTTTTTTATTTTAGAAAATTGTCAGCCATTTTTTCTCTTTCAATATTCTTTTTGTGTCATTCTTTCATCTTTTTCTGGGACTTCAATTGCATATATATTAGAACTTCATACCTTATCACTCATATATATATATACCATTTATATAATTTATATAATGAATTTATATATTCATCATTTATATAATGAATTTATATAATGAATTTATCCTTTATATATATCATTTATATAATGAATTTAATATATGTAGATATATGTGATCTATATCTATCTTTCTATCTAATCTTAACCCCTTTCTGTATTTGTCATATTTTTTACTCTCCTTGCTTCAGCCTATATATTTTCTACTCATTTAGCTTCCATTTGATTAATCCATTCTTCTGCTGCACCTAATTTGCTGCTAAGCCTACCTATTGATTTCTTAATTTTAGCTATTGCAGTTTTCAGTTCTAATATTTCTATTTGAATGTGTTTTGCCCAGCTTTTTTTGTTTTCTTTTGGTGAGGAAGATTAGCCATGAGCTAACATCTGTTGCCAATTTTCCCTTTTTCTTCTTTTTTTTAATCTCACCAAAGCCCCAGTACATAGTTGTATATCCTAGCTGTAAGTCTCTATTTGAATGTTTTATTGGTTTAATTTCTTTGGTGAAATTGTCCATTTTGTCATCCACTTTATTTTACACATCAATCATAGTTAAAAACAATATCTGGGTCATGCGGCAGGCAGAATTTTAAGATGGGCCCCAAGTTCCACCCTCCTTTCACCTGTGTACATTGCATGTATAATTCCCTCCCTCTTGAATGTGGGTGGTACCTGTGAGTGTGATGGGATAACACTCCCTGTTTAGGTTACGATGGGTAACAAACATGATGAGATAGTCATTTCTGTGATGACTTCTTCACAGCAGACTAAAGAGAAACTCTCTGGTGGCTGGCTTTGAAGAAGGAAGCTGCCAGTTTGCCAGAGGGTCACATGGGGAGGACTTGAGGGTGGCTTCTAAGAGCTGAACAAACAAGAAGAAAACGGGGCTGTCAATTCTTCCAACAACTGATCGAACTTGGAAGAGGATCCCAAACTCCAGATAAGAGCGCAGCCTCGCTGATTTCAGCCTTGTGGACTCTGTTCAGAGAGTCCAGCTATACTGTGCATGGACTTCTGACCTTTAGAAACTGTGAGACAGTAAATGATGTTGTTTTAACTCTCTGAGTGTGTGATGGTTTGTTGTGCAGCATTAGAAACTGAATACGGGTCATTGATGGATCTATTTCTGTATCTTTTTAATGTCCATCTTGGTTTTCTTATGTTTGTTAATTTTTTCAATTATTTTATTGAGATCATAATGGCTTATAACATCGTGTAATTTCAGGTATACATTATTTTTGTCCATTTCTGTATAGACTGCATCGTGCTCACCACCCGTAGTTTAACTTTTTTCTGTCACCATACCTATGTGCCCCTTTACCCCTTTTGCGCATCCCCGGCCCCTTTCCCCTCTGGTAACCACTAATCTGTTCTCTTTATCCAGGTGTTTGTTTATCTTCCACACATGAGTGAAATCATGCAGTATTTATCTTTCTCTATCTGGCTTATTTTGCTTAACATCATACCCTGAAGGTCCATCTATGTTGTTGCAAATGAAACAATTTTATCTTTTTTATGGCAGAGTAGTATTCCATTGTGTGTGTGTGTGTATATATATATATAATATATATATATATTCACTAATAAGTAGTGATGTTGAACATCTTTTCATGTGTCTGTTGGCCATCTGTATATCTTCTTTGTAAAAATGTTCATATCCTCTGCCCATTTTTTGTTCAGGTTGTTTTTTTGTTGTTAAGCTGTATGAGTTCTTTGTATATTTTGGAAATTAACCGCTTGTTGGATATATGATTTGCAAATATTTTCTCCCATTTCATAGGTTGTCTTTTTGTTTTGTTCCTGGTTTCATTTGTATTTCAGAAGCTTTTAGTCTGATGTATACTCATTAGTTAATTTTTTTCTTTTGTTTCCCTTGCCTGAGTAGACATGGTATTCGAAAATTTGCTGCTAAGACCAGTGCCAAAGAGAGTATTGCCTATATTTTATTCCAGGAGTTTTATGGTTTCATGTCTTACATTCAAATCTTTAATCCACTTTGAGTAATTTTTGTGTATGGTACAAGATAATGGTCTACTTTCAATCTTTTCCATGTGGCTGTCCAGTTTTCCCAGCATCATTTATTGAAAAGACTTTCCTTTCTCCATTGTACATTTTTGTCTCCTTTGTCAAAGATTAACTGTCCACAGATATGTGGTTTTATTTCTGGGCTTTCAATTCTGTTTCATTCATCTATGTGTCCATTTTTGTGCCGATACATGTTTGTTATTTTTATATTGAAGAAATTGTGTGTGTGTATGTATAGCATGTATGTGGAAAATTGTAGAGGCCCTTAATTATGCTCTCTTCTTCTGGGAAGAGTTCATCCTATTCTCTAATAGGCATCCAGGATAATGGCAAATCATCATAATCCAGTTGATCATGGGGCTCTTTCAAGGCATGGTTGCAATCTTTGTTTGGCTATAACTGAATTTGTATTTGCCCCCAGTTCTAGGTGTAGCCCTGCAGGGATTACAAACTGAAAGCTGGGGTATTCTCTAGAGTTTTCCTTCAAAGCAGGCACTGAGCTTTAATTTTGGATCTCTCAATAATTTGATGCTATGGATTGAATGTTTGTGTCCTCCTCAAATTCATATGTTGAAGCCTAATCCCCAAATGAGATGGTATTTGGAGATGGGGCCTATGGGACGTAATTAGGTCATGGGAGTGGAGCCCTAATAAATGGAATTAGTGTCCATGGAAGAAGAGACGAAGGAGAGATAATCTCTTTCTTCACCATGTGAGCATACAGCAAGAAGGCATCTGCCTACAAACCAGGAGGAGGGCCTTCACCATGAACCAAATTGGCTGGCACCTTGATCTTGGAGCTCTAGCCATCAGAATTGTGAGGAATAACTTTCTGTTGTTTAAGCCACGCAGCCCAGTCTATGGTACTTTTTGAATAGCAGCCCAAACTGACTAAGACATTCGGTATTGGCAAAAACTCTGCTCTACTTTGCCATGGCTTACTTGTATACTTAGCTTCCTGCCTCCTTTAACAAGTGGGCAGGAAATATTTGTCCCTTTGCAAATATTTGTCCTACTTTCTCTGCTTGATCAAATATCTTCAACTCTTGGTTTAAGTGTTGCCTCTTCACTGCCTACTGCTCCTGTCTTCCCTTCCCCATATAAAATTAATTTCTTTCTTGGGTGCCCCTGTGGCATTGCATATGTTATTCTCTTATGGTGTTTACTACGTTTTCTTATAATGAGGTCTACTGTTATTTACCCACTTTTTGAACTCTGAGCTCAAAAAGGCATAGACCAGGGGCTGGCCCAGTGGTGCAGCAGTTATGTGCGCACATTCTACTTCGGCGGCCCAGGGTTTGCTGGTTCAGATCCCGGGTGCAGACATGGCACCACTTGGCAAGCCATGCTGCAGTAGGCACCCCACATATAAAGTGGAGGAAGATGGGCACGGATGTTAGCTCAGAGCCAGTCTTCCTCAGTAAAAAGAGGAGAATTGGGAGCAGATGTTAGCTCAGGGCTAATTTTCCTCAAGAAAAAAAAAAACGGTGTAGACTGGGACATTGTATTCAATGTCTGAGACTGAGCAAATGCTCCATAAATATCATTTAAATGTTGATCGAGCTGTACTAAAATAGAAAGTGTGTTTTTATTTGTTTTAAGATCTTAATCGAAGGAAGCTAACTTTCTTGGGAAGGCTCATTTGAGTGGGCCACTTAAATGCAAATATACAGTGAGGGAAACACAGCCATTGTATTGAGATAACGTATAGCAGAAACTTTTACAACTTTATCAAGAGTGCCGCTCTCCAGATCAATGGTATGATGACCACTGTAGAGGAGGAGGTGAGTAAATCTACACGAGGGTCCCATGGCTTTTTAAAAGAGAAAGGACAACAAACTGGCCTCTCTACCTGAGATTCTAATTAAGAGAAAATTATTGGAGTGAAGCTGGGTGGACCTGCTGAAGATTTGGTTGCAGGAAAAGGCAATGAGATTCTCCAAATAAAATTCCCCTTCAGAATGGAAGACTTAGGCTGATGGCCTGGATCTAAATCACCTTGGGGGTGGAGTGGTTGCCTCATACCGTGAGTGACGTCAAAATCTCTTCCAGATTCAGCCGCCTTCGACCCAGTGCTGTGCTCCAGGGAACAGAAGCCCAACATGGTGGTGAAACTGAACTCTAGTCTCAGTCTGGAATCCTTTCGGCTACTATTGCCCGTGAAAGAGTGAGATCATTTTCCTTCAAAGAATGTAAGTGCTGTCAATAAAGAGCTCGGCTAGTGATGGAGTATTGCTATAGTGACCAGTATTCCATTACAACAACCTAGAATGACAAGAGGTCTTGCCAGTGGCAACAGGCTGGAATTTGGTATCTTTACTCCTCTGATGTAATTTAATTGATATACAAAACATTGTGCATATTTAATGTATACAATTTGATGACTTTGGAAATAAGCATACACTCATGAAACCATCATCATATCCATCACCTCCAGAAGTTTCCCGCATCCCTTTTTATGTGTGGTAAGAATACTCGATGTTAGATGTACCCTCTTAACAAATTTTTAAGTATACAATACAATATTGTTGACTATAGGCACTAGGCCGTAGAGCAGATCTCTAGAACCAATTTTGAAAGAGCTACACTTTTGGACAATATATGCTTTGCGTTTTGGTACAAGTTAGTGGCAGTAGAGAGTCCCAAGGGAAATGACTTCTTACTAATATGGCAAATGAGGGATCAGGCACATATAATTGTAACCAAGGTTGGTAGAACTTACCAGGTCGGTTTCAGGTGCATTCAGTGCATGGAGGAGTGAATGACTGTGTATGCTATTCCCCGACTGCAACGTTTAACAGGGAGGATGGAGACCTTTGAGTCAGAAAGACCAGTGTTAGGAATCTGATTGACTAGCTGTGTAAATGTGAGCAGTGATTTAATCTCTCTGAGCATCAGTTTCCATTTCTGCTGCATGTGAATGTTCATGTCTATTTCAGAAGATTTGTGAGACAATGCAGGCCTCCTGATTCCCACCTAGACCTATCCCCACCATTCACTGTATGTCCTTGTCATAGGCAACCATTCACAGACCGCTAGTTTTTCAAATCCGGCCCTAGAGAAGGGCTGAACAGTAGATGCAGTAAAAGACTGTTTGCTGCCAATGTGCACAAGAATCTATTCTCCACCCAAAACTGAGCGTGAGAACATTACCATAACACATCTTCTACAAAGTCCTATTTCCCCTCTACAGCTAAGATTGTCCCCCTCTGTCAAATGGAGACAGTACTTGGGATCAAAATAGGATCAAAATTCAGAAGGAAACAAAACATAAGTTGAAGAGAAAGTGCTCTCAAAAGGAAGTGAAAATACGGGAGGCTCTAGATTGCTCAGGATTGTGGTTTTAGGTACTAGAAGATCTATTCTTACACTTTGCCTTTTTATGATATATTTTAATAGAGAAAGAGTAGGTAGAAATTTGATGCACAGAAGTATTTTGAATGTACTAAATTCACTATGTATCTGGCTATTAAGTTAATATCCTGTGGTCCTTATGGTTCATTTTGGCTCTCTATAATGCAGGCTCCATAAGGACAGGGGCTAGGGTTTATCTTGTAGATTGTTGATCCTCAATCCTTTCATTGACTCTCTCACTCATTCATTCATTCAAAAATATTTTTGTACTCTTGCTAATTGTTGGACTGTCCTACATGTAGGGAAAAGACATAAAAGTATTCTGCCTTAATAGAACTTTTATTCTAAAATGGGGAGCAGATAAAGATGAATATTTTCTGATAGGATTTTCTAACGAATAAGATGTTGTTAAAGATGATTTGGGGATGCTCTTCTTTAGATAGAGTGGTCAGAGAAAGAATCAGCAATTCAAAAAACCATGAAAAAACATGGAAGAGGGAACATGAAACACAAAATTTTGAGATTGGAAATAGCTTGTCAAGTCCTAACAATTTATAGAAACCAGTGTGGCAGGAGGATGGGGAGTGAAGACCTGGAGTCTGGCACTTAGTAGACACTCAATAGCTATTTAATCTATTATTAATCCATGTGTCCATCTGAGGTCTTTAGCTTTGTAAGTGTCATTCGTTCTCATTGATTTAGTATTGAAACTCTTCAACTCCCTTTTCTTCCTCATCCACCCCGCCCACTCAGGTACCAAGTCCTGTTGTGTTTCTGTAAACTTCCCAACTCTCACTCTTACCCATATTGCCTCTTTTCCCTCATTGTTCCCAAATGCCTTACTGCAAGTCCTCTGAGCTCTAATTTGGACTATAGCAATAGCCTCCTCTTCCTCTAGTCTATAGTCTACATTATTATTGCCCCCCTCATTTCCTGTTGTGTCTTTCCTCTGTTAGCAGCACCTGTGTGGTATCAGAAGATTGACCACACTCATATTTCCAAGAAATGATCCCTTCTGTGCTGATGCTACACCACTGACATCTTCACATTGTGATTGGCTCAAGGAAGGGCCTGTAACCCAGGCAGTGATGGGCTTTCCCATGGTCAAAATTGATAGCTACAGGCATGGTTACATGTCTCAACATAGGTCCACTCAGTGTGAAACCCTGGCTTCATGATTGGATGAAGAGAAACTCTTTCTTCTTTTGGATTGTTATAAGTGCTTGAGGCCTAAGATTGCTGTGGCTGTTTGGCTCTCATGTTGGAAGCCAGCCTCAGGAACATCTGAGAGATGACAGAGGGCTGAGCCTGGAAAATTGTAGAGAAGAGGATTTAAAGACCTTAATCACTTTCCTCAAGCCCTCATCTCCAGACCTCAGTTTTGTTAACTGGACAATTTCCTTTATCATTTGAGGTGTTTTGAGTTAGATTTCTTTTTACACGTGTAAACTATTCAACTCCTGAGTAAGCTACTATCTCAGGTGTGACTTTATCTACCAGATGCTAATGTCTGCTGTAGGAATTATAATAAAAACAATAGCTAATATTTATTGAGGACTTACTGTGTTCTCAGCACTGTTCTAGTAGTTTAGATGTATTATCTCATGTATAGCTCACAATAACCTTATGACTTAGATGTTATTATTAAGGTCATCTACAGAGGAGCATTCTGAGGCCCAGAAAGGTTAAGCAATTTATCAAGGCCACCTGGCTAATAAAGAATAGCAGGTATATTACTTATATATGGTTGCATGACAAATTATCCCCAAATTTAGCAGAACTATATCAGGTTTTATACCAAAAGTAAGTGCTGTAGCCTGGAGAAGACAAATGTTACTTCTGCTCACATGTATTGGCAAAAACCATTTATGTGTGCTGTTACGGGTTGAACTACATCCTCTAACATGATATGCTGAAGTCCTACCCTCTTGGAACCTATGAATGTGATCTTATTTGGAAATAGGGTCTTTGCACATGTTATCAAGTCAAGATGAGATCATACTCGTTTAGGGTGGCCCTAATCCAATATGAATGGTGTTCTTATAAGAAGGGGAGAAAACACAGGGGCAGACACAAGAGGGAAGAATGCCACGTGATGATGGAGGCACAGATTGCAGTGCTGCCGCTGCAAGCCAACACATGCCAAGGATTCCTTGCATTCCAATACCAATCAAAGGCATTCCAATGTCATTCAAACTCCCAGACGCTAGGAAGAAGAAAGAAGGGATTCTCTTCTGAAGTCTTTGGGGGAGTGTGGTCCTGCTGACACCTTGAGTTTGGACTTCTAACTTCCAGAACTGTGAGAGGGTAAGTTTTTGCCGTTGTAAGCCACCCACGTTGGGATACTTTGTTAGAGCAGCCCTAGAAAACTAGTACATGGCCTTAGCCAATCACAAAGAGGTCAGGAGATCCATCTCCAGTGTGACTGAAAAAGAAGAGGACTGCTTATCCGTTAGTAGCACTAATGACTGCAGAAAGAAGCATCATCATGGAAGGTAAATTTTACTGAGGATTTTGTGGATTTCTTCCCAACATGTAGCAAAATCTCATCAGAATATCTGCCTGAGCTGGATGTTAACTGGGCTTATTGTGTGATCATTTCACAATATATACAAATATCAAAGCATCATCTTATACACCTGAAATTAATATAATGTTATATGTCAGTTATACCTAAGTAAAAAAAGAATATTATATATATATATAATATATAAATATATCTCTACCTGAGAATTCTGTCTTCTCTTTTCCAGTGTTTCTCTCCAGCAACTACTCTTTCCTTTCCTTTACAGCCTGCAAACAAATCTCTTTTATTTTTCTTGCAATTCAACTCTTACTTCATTCAGCTAAATAAAAGCCCAGTGGTAAGTCAAACATCAGTCCTGTGGTTCCTCTGATTGGAGGATCTCATGCTAACGCTAATCTGGGGCACTGGCCAGGGGTTGCTTTGGTGCTCCCACAGGCATCACTGGACTGGGTTTTAATACCCAAACATGTTCACAGTACATTTCCACCTTCTGATGAGCTTTAGGTCTTGGGTTGCATCACTTACTCTCATGAGTTGAGCTGCAGTATAGCAGAGACTTTTCCAGCTGTGCATTCCCATTGCCTTACACATTACTGGCACTTGGTACCAGTTTGACTAAAGTATTGGATCATGTCTATTTAATATTTTTGGTGTAGTGCCTTGCCTGAAGGTGTAAATATCGGCTAATGAGTTTGTGCTGTAGGCAAACCTGTTCCGGTGATAGAGATGTGTGAAATCATATTGTAAAGTGTGGGGACTGGAATTGGCCACCCCAAGATATGTCTCTTTGGCATGAGGATTATTTGAGGCTGATTGCTTTTGATAAACTGGGACAGGGAAGGAGGCTCTGAGGAATGGAACTTGCTTGCCCTTTATTAGGACACATTTACATTTGTAAGGTAAATCTCTATCTGTAAAGGTGCCTCCCTCTCTGTACCAGGAAGAAGAAAGGAGATGACCTTGTCTCTAGAAACTCTTAATCAATGTGGAAGGCAAGGACTTAAATCTGCATTTGTTTATTGTGCTTGTCTGGTAACCTCCTGGAACTGACTTCCCTCCCCCTCCCAACATTAGCATTTCTTTAAGGATTAAACATCTTTCCTTAGGCTAGGAACTGATTGCTGCACTCACCTGTGACCACCCAGCTCAGGACAATAGACTTGCCTCCTGCTACGCCCTCTGAGATAGCAGACCCACTATCTGCTGTGTCCATCAAGTGCTGTGCTGACAGGGCAATCTTTTTTTTTTTTTTAAAGATTTTTTTTATTTTTTTCCTTTTTCTCCCCAAAGCCCCCCAGTACATAGTTGTATATTCTTCGTTGTGGGTTCTTCTAGTTGTGGCATGTGGGACGCTGCCTCAGCGTGGTCTGATGAGCAGTGCCATGTCCGCGCCCAGGATTCGAACCAACGAAACACTGGACTGCCTGCAGTGGAGCGCGCGAACTTAACCACTCGGCCACGGGGCCAGCCCCTGACAGGGCAATCTTGTGATTATTGTGGGAGGGACATTTCAATCATATGTCAAACACCCTGTTTGGGGGTATATAACCGCTCTGTGCACCCCACTTCTTCAGTGCCCTTTCTGCCTTTGGGAAGAAAGGCCCTGGGCCATGGTCCTCATAAAGCTTTGTTTAATTTTCTCTTGCTATTCTGTCTCATGTGAGTTGAATTTTTTCTCTGGCCAGACAAACCCACATTGGATAGAGGAAAAGTCTTCCTCCCCTACAAAAGTAAAACCTACTTTATTAACAGTGGGTGTAAGAGTCCTTCTTGTCTTGTTGATATGTTAAGATTATAAGAAAGGACTGGCTATTCTGCTTTTCTGCCTCAAAACACCCTAGGGACTGGAGCAAATATCAAGGAGCTTGCACGTGTGATTTGAGATCAGGGCTCATGTTGGCTGAAGGGGGATCCGAGGCCAGGTGGCAAGGGGTACCAGACAGAATATTCTACCTGTGTCTTCCCTAGTCCCTTCAACATACATAAGGGCATAATAACTAAAGCACATCTTTAGTTGAAGGGATAGCTCATAGCACAGAATGCTTCAATCCTCCAGATAGCACATGATACATAAATATTTCATATGCACTAAACAACACAAATCATTCCTTCTTCCTAGCAAGTCGAGTTGCATGCATTAGTTAATGTTTGGCTTGGATTAATATTTATTAGATTTCCATTTATGTTAAAGTATATTAAAATATTAATTTAAGCATACATTGAGCAAATCCAATTCTCAACTGTGGAGTATTTGCAATGTGTATGTTGAGTAATTATAGACATTTATAAATAATTACAAGCTATTCCTTTATATATTGCCAGGTATGCCTAAGGTACCCTTTGAGGAAAACAAGTTATACTTTCTGAAGGTGGTTTTGGTCTCTTGGTGCCTATCAGAAGTACTAGAAGATGTAATTATCAAAATGTGCATTACATTCTTTGAACACATTAATAGCATAACTCAAGCAATGGTTTATATATAAATGGCAGACATATATGAATTCTATATGTCTGCCATTTTTGTACTGAGTCCTTAAATACGCTAGGATTTGCTCTAGGAAGTTCCCATTATTTTTATATTCAATACTTATGCCATCACCTTGAGGTAGGTGTCTTGCTTTATAGATGAGGATACGGAAGTTTAGAAAAGTTAAGTAATTTGTGGAATATAATTAGTGGTAAGTGATTAGCAAGGAAGCTTGACTTTGAACACAAGTGTCTCTGACTTTGACAGCTCTTACTTGTAAGCACTAGCTAACAAAGCCTCTAGTAAAGCACACTTTGTATTTATTCTCCAAAATTCGTAAAACTCCCTCGTGAAGGAACTTTAGCAATCTTGTCTAACACCACCACTTTACAAAGGAAAATCCCGAAGCCTCTGGCATTAGGAATATTTCATCTGAAATAACTGAAAAGTCCACACCATAAATGCAATTCTTAACCTATCCATGATAGGAGCTGTATGTTTTTCACCTTTTATCACCCCAAAACTAATGCAACACTTAGTACAACAAATATAGGTATTTGGTGCATGAATGAATGCTTAGTGAATGAGTGAATGAAGTTACTCCCTACTTTTAATTCTTTGGTGACTCCCCCACCATCTTCAGGACAAAGTCCTAACTTCTTATACCACTCAACACAGCCATCCACAATCAGTCCTGCTTAGCTCTCCAACTCATCTTCCATACTAGAGGAATAGGTACATTATGCTCCAGCAGAGGTGAGCTAACTGACAATCCCAGAGTCTTCAGTGCTTGCTTCAGTCTCTCTGACTTGGTACACACTATTACAGGCTGTCTTAAGGCTCCCTCCCTCCTCCTCCCCCCTTCGGCTTCTGGAAATGGTCCCAGAGGTGTCCCTTCTTCCTCAGTGTTTCTGTGGCGCCCTTTGCTATGTCAATCTCCATCCTTTCCCACTGTAGTGCAAGGCAAACCAATTGACAGAGAGCTTGTGGAGGGCAGGGCCCAGGATTTAGGATTTACCCTCTACATAAATGATCTCATTGTATTTTCTCAGAATCATGAGGGGAATGTGTCTACCTTTTAACATACTGTGTACATAAACACTATAGCATTTGATAGCTCAAAATCCATAGATTCAATGCTAAATGTATTTTTAATTCATTCATATTGAACATTATATTATTATGTTCTCATTCATTCCATTGAAAATCAGATTGTTAAAAAACATAAGTAAGTAAGAGGGTACTTACATAATAAGCGAAACTGTTTCCTTATAAACCGTGTATCGAGCATCTGGTAAGTGCCCAGCACTACATTAGACCCTGGTGTTCTTGCAGAGGCTGGGTTGAACAGTGTTGAGCAAGGAATAGATTATAGGGGAAAACTTATTGGTAGTGAGAGAAAAAAAAAAAGTTTCAGGGTAAGGCTAAAAACCAAAGCTGAAAATAAAAAACGAAGAAAGGTAATAGCTTTTTTTGAGCCCCTACCAGGCACTTGCCGTTTTACACACTTTCGAACATTTAATCCTTCTAACGATGCTATGAAGTTGGCAATTATAAGTTGATTCATGTCCCCTTACAAAGCTATGTTGAAGTCCTAACCCCCAGTACCTCAGAATGTGACCTCATTTGGAATAGGGTCTTTACAGGGGTGATCAAGTTAAAATACTGCCATTAGGTTGGGATCTATTCCAATATAGTTGATGTCCTTACAAAAAGGGGAAATTTGGAGACAGACGTGCAGAGAGCGAAGACAATGTGAAGACACAGGGCTAATGCCATCTA